ATATTATAGGATTTTACACTAAAGCATTACATAAATATAATTATAAATGACTATAATTTAGAAAGTGAAGAACAATCGTGAACGAGAACAAATGGATAGAGAAATTAGAGGAATGTGAAGTCAAATATTGCGACTAAAATTGGAGAGGAAGATTAAAAAATTAGATTCAGAGAGATATTATGATTGGTTTTCATCCAGTATCATGTATTATGACAAGTATTTAGCCAACAATCATAAAAATTGGTTATTATGATAGGTCTTTAGAGATAAGTCATAATACGTTTTACATTTATTGACTAGTTTGCCACTGCGTTCAATATTATGACTTATGTCCATAATTCCGTCATAACAAATTCCTTTTTTATTATGAAAATGTTAACAATCAACCTATTATGATGGAAGATTTTCACCCGTCAGTAGTCATATTATACTAGTTTTCCACTAATATAATCACAAATCATATCTTAATTAAAGAGTAACTATGGTCATATAACGTAGATTTTATAAACACATCAAGTTGCTAAAGAAAATCACTCAACTACAATCTATAATTGTTCTTATCATTTAATGTTAATATACTATTAAAAGCTGTTTTTAGCGAATAAAACTATTATAATTCTTCAAACTCAATGAACTTAAAATAGTTTGTAAAATAATTTTGAATAGTAGTTGATCAATAAATAATTTTCTTAAATATAACTTGATAAAAGAAAAATATTTTTAAAATATAAATTAGAGGTAAAATAAAGTTTAAATTAAAACTAAAAAATGTTATTAAATTAAAATAAATAAATAAAATGATTTAAAATAACAGTATATTAAAGTTATTTTATAAAATACCGGAATTCAAAATAATTAATATTTTATTTTTTATTTGCATAATTTTATTAAAGATAAATATTATATTATGTTTTTATACTAACAATCTAACTCTTTCAAATATAATATATTAATAATATCATTATTATGACATTTTTACACTTAAATATAAATAATAAAATAATAATTTTAAAATAATCCATATATATAATAGAATAAATTATATTGAATGTCATACTTGATCGTATCACTAGCAAAAAATATGTTTTTTAACTCGCCCAATAGATTTCGATCTAAGAAAATCGAAGCCATCAGAAAACGGTGGCAATTTTGTAGTTTTGATGAACTTATATGCCTTGGTTCAGTGAGAACCGAAGCATATAGCGCATATTACCTCGGTTCAAAATACAACCAATGCCTAATACTCTGCCAAAAGGTCACCTACGGTTCTGCAAAATTGTGTTTTGGCCTATTAACTCGGTTAAAGGTGGAATCGAGGCCTATTACCTCGGTCAAATCTCCCCTTTTTCACTCGCACCTGACCTACTACCTTACTGTTCATTTTACGTGAAGCTTTTATGCGGTTTTCTTTCCTCTGGCATAAACAAAGAGAGCAATCTCCCTTCTCCCACTTGACAGCCACGACATGAGGAGGTTCTTTCCTCCATTGCAACAGCTTGCGCTCCGGCGAGGATGACGATGGTGGCCGGCGTCGAAAGCGGAGGGGAGGCACGATGGTGGAGACGAGTACCGCGGCGGTGATGATGGGAGGCTCGCCGATCTAAGGCGTTTGGCGAGCAGAGAAGATGGTGCCTTGGAGATGATGGGAGGTTCGCCGATCTAAGAGTTGAACGGAGTTCCTTGGCACTGTCT